GTGCAAGACTTCTTGCTAATTTTTATAGAATTTGTCATTTAAGTTTATAATATAGAATCATTCAAAAAGAGAGATATTCAAACATCATAAAACATGATGTTTTTGTATACATATACGAAAGTAGTTTTTTATGGAAATATTAATTAAGGCATTTTTTACTTAAAATGTTCCTGAATGTCAATATTGAATAATATTATGTAAGATGCTGAATAGAAATTTATGAAGAAAAATATTTGGCACACCGAACCGACTATGCCAAACCTAAACCGACTGGAACGAGCAATATTTTGTGTACAATGAACACAAACGATTAAAGATGCTACAATAAAGCGCAATTTTGAATAATGTTAAAGTTATATGAAGCATCAAATTGAAAATTTAAGCAATTATAGTAGACAAGGCGATATAACGTCGCGATATACTGAAATCGTAAAACTCTTTAAACATTTAAGTACTACTTTTTACGATATAGCGAGGTCGTAAAACTCTTGAGAAAGTAAAATATATTTTACGATATAGCGATGTCGTAAAATTTATTGAAAAAGTAAAAAATCTACAACTTAAAAATGAATAATAAACATTTTTTAAAATAGTAACAATTGTACCTATAACTTACAAACTTTCGAAATTAAAATTTTGACAACGTAGAGGTTATACGTAACCTCAAATTGCATTTAATGTAAAATTTGATGGAAATAGACATATTCAGAGAAGAATTAGCACATATCTGTTTATCCATGTTCCATGGTCCACGATATGCAAATCAGGTCTAAACCGTATTTAGAAATGATACAAAAATGGTGGACGTATAGAAACGTTATTGAAGCGTTGAGGGGTGGCTTACATCGCTTAAGTGTAGAGCACAGATACGATATTGTACAATATAATTGATATGCTCGTGTTGCATACAGAGTGTCTTTATTAATATTCAGAATTCTTTTAACACTTTCTGATCCATTTGTGTAATATTACACATCTGAAAACAACGACGATTTCACTGGTTGTTACTTCAACATCAAACGCGTTAATTAACAAACAATGAAAAGCAAGTTCTTCTAATTTATTTGGAAATTTTACTGTCATTTGTCTCTACAAATTGTCATTTATATAAAAATTTAAACTCTTGGCTTCTAATATAAGACCTCTGACTTTAGCCTAAATAATTATTACCTAGGTCAGTGGTAACATGACCATTATCAGATTTTTGAAAAATTTTCTTGGCACAATCTCAAATGTCCTCCATATTGGCCCTTAGTAATACATGTGTTTTATGAACCTTATTATATTACTCGTATACTTTCAAAATATGTACTTTTAACAGATAAGAAGCAATACAATTACTTATTATACCTCATTAAGGTTAATGTATATAAATACATTACTACAACTAGATTTTAATTCTTTTCATATACATTTCTCAATTAATATTGTCAGAACCAACTGCGTAATATTACACATTGCATATTGAAAATTTTATTTACACCCCTTATTTTGGGATCGAACGTGTTCAAAAATGCTGAACATTAATTTGGACACCCTGCATGTATGCACACAGTATTTGTCCCACAAGTGCCACCACGAAATTTGATTTATTTAAATTTAACAAATTATAGTAATTATAACTAACTTTATTTATTCTTTACAGATAGGATTAGTACTTTGAAAATTGCAGTTTTAATCATTGTCAATTATTTACTCAATTATTTTTGTATTATTTAAGTCATTCATTTATTCATTAAATATTTTATAAAAATGTAAATGATACTGTGAATATTATTGCATTCACTATATTGCATTGTTTTCTAGAAAAGTCATAACCAACATAACCTCTAAAATTTCTAACCTAACTCGATCGTTCTTAAATTTGATATACGACAATGTTACTATAATTAGAACATATAAATCTATAAACTTGTGAAACAATCTTTAAATATTTTTGACGAACGAGTAACATAAACTCTAAAATTTGTAACCTAACTCGATCGTTCTTAAATTTGTTATATGACGATGTTACTATAATTAGAACATATAACTCTAAAAACTTGTAAAACAATCTTGAAATATTTTTCACGAATACGTAACATAACCTCTAAAATTTGTAACCTAACTCGATCGTTCTTAAATTTGATATACGACAATGTTACTATAATTAGAAGATAGAAATCTATAAACTTGTAAAACAATCTTGAAATATTTTTCACGAACGAGTAACATAACCTCAAAAATTTGTAACCTAACACAATCCTTCTTAAATTTGATATACGACAATGTTACTATAATTAGAACATACAAATCTATAAACTTGTAAAACAATCTTGAAATATTTTTGACGAATGAGTAACATAACCTCTAAAATTTCTTAAATTACACAATTTCTTGCAAAGTAATTTATTTCAAAATTTCGTGGAAACATCGATGTGGAACACCCTGTATGTGCATTCATATAAATATAAATAGAATATAGTCCATACAATGTATATAGCGGAGTGGAGCATAGTGAAAGACAGAGCGTAGGCGAAGCTTTATCCTTTTTTTTTTCTTTCCGATTCAAGAGACTACGGACCCTTCTCAAGTGATTCCGCCGTCGTTAACGCGTGCATAAAAAGAGTGTGAAACGGTCGACCGAGTCCATGTACTTCTCAAACAAGTATTGAAAACTTCCAAACGAACTATACGTGCTTTTCTGAAAAGGCATTTTTAGTCGTGCCATTCGAGGTTGTATGATCATTAAAGCGCAAGTGGAGCCGCAGAGTGGAGAGAAATATTTACAAAACGAAGAAAGTTTTTTGGCTATAAAGCCCGGGTCCTGTTGTGCTATTTTTCCATTAAATTATCTCTTCTACGGCTTTGTGATATTATGTAGATTGTCCTGGACATTTCCTAACGTTTTCGGTTTATTATCGTCAAACGTTTAGTGAAAACTGTTAATTGTTTTAGTTGAAATGTGAGCGGAGTGCACGAGAAAATAAGAGGAGTAAGGACTTTATTTTTTAAATGTGTAGATTTTGAAATTTGATAAGATGCGAGATTGTAAATTTTTTTTAAACTTGAAATTTTGTGAAGTTGGATATTTTTTGTTTTAGTAACTTTTCAAATTAGAAAAGTAATGTAATGGATATTTTTTTTAATTTTTCAATTTGAAAATTTAAAAATTTTTGTGTTGAAAAATTTCTAAATTTTTTTATTCTGAAATTTGTTATTTGTAAAGTGAGCTGGAAAAATTTAACACTTCTACATTTTTAGATTAATGTACTTTTAAGTATAAATTTGTAAATTAAAAAATTTTTAAGTACGAACAAAAATTTTGAATTAGAAATCGTGCGCTCCGTTGATTGGGTTAATTAGATTAGATTTCCTGTTAATTACAAAATTAGTAAAGAAACTAAATATTCATGAAACATTTAAAATATGTAGAAAATATATTTAAAATTTATCCAATTTTCATTTTTATTTATAATTATTAAAATTCAAACACAATAATGAATATATTTTTTATTTAACAGATTTATGTTTCTATGTATCTGAAAAAATAAAAAAATTCAAATCTACATTTTTTAAAAGTTTCATTAAAATTATGGGTCATCCATGAGGTCAGACTTGGTCTCTCTTCTTGTAAGAAGACGTAAGTTGAGCAGAAAACACTTGATCCGGGCAAAATAAAAAAAGAAAATAAAAGTTGCAATCAGGTAGTACAGAGTTTCTTCGAAAGTTGACTGTGACTGCGATTTGTAAGATGGCCGCCAAATATGTCTTCGTGTAGCAATTTTCTATTTTTAGATTCTTAAATTTTGCTAATTTCTATTCGGAAATTTTTAAATTTCCCAAATTCCTATATTTTTCAGATTTCTCACATTTCCAAATTTCTAAATTTTCCAAATACCCATATTTCTCAAATTTTCCAAATTTCCAAATTTCCCACGCCCCCAAATTTCCCACATCTCCAAATTTCCTAAATTTTCCAAATTTCCAAGTCCCCAAATTTTTCACGTCCCCAAATTTCCCAAATTTTCAAGTCCCCAAATTTCTCACATCCCCAAATTTCCCAAATTTTCCAAATTTCCAAGTCCCCAAATTTCCCAAATTTTCTAAATTTCCAAGTCCCCAAATTTCCCACGCCCCCAAATTTCCCACATCCCCAAATTTTCCAAATTTCCAAGTCTCCAAATTTCCCAAATTTCCAAGTCCTCAAATTTTCCAAATCCCCAAATTTTTCAAATTTCCAAGTTCCCAAATTTTCCAAATCTCCATATTTCCCAAATTTCCAAGTTACCATATTTCTTTATAAATCTAAGAATGTGGTCCCTGTAAAATAAGACTCAGCATTACTATCCCCTCCTAATTCCACTCCTGATCAAACCTTGATGCATATAGCTTCATTATAACACCATCTTGTCCCTTCATACATCTACAGCCTCAGTATAACGTCACCCAATTCCTAAATACACCTACAATTTTATTATATCATTTAATCTGTCATAGTGTCTACAGGTATATTTTAACTTCATTCTGTACCCATACGCGAATACAGCTTTGTCATGTCCCTAAATGTATCTACAGAATATCTCACAACTAGTGTAGGTCCCTGAAATGTAGGTCCTAGTTGTGAGACACCCTGTATACCTTGATCATAACGTCCATGTGTCTACATCTTTATTATACCGTCATTTTGTACCTAAACGTATCATATCTTAATCATAACATCATCTATGTGTCTACCGCTTCATTACAACGTCATTTCACCCCTATAAACGTACACAGAATTATAACGTCATCTGGCAACCCCGCCTTGAAATATGTATCAGATATTACTCTCAGCCAAATACATCGCTCGAGGCATAACCCGAGGTACGTTTCAGTATTTGGCTAATTCGCGGTCAACTTTCGAGGAAGCTCCGCGCGTTAATTATGTACGGACACAATACAAACGAGCGGAACCACAGATCTCGTCTCTTGAATCAGATATGCAGGTGTCTGCTGGATGTTGGATTGGACCGACTTACTCAGTGGCCTTTGCAAAGGGCATTCCAATGAAGGTAGGGCTCAGTGTTTCCGTGTACATCTCCATTCCGGTTCCACGGAGGTAGTCATTCTGCCAAGCCTGCATATCGGGCGACTGGTACCAATCAACCAACCATTTCTAAATCACACACGCTCCTATGCATGTACGGATTCGCGCGTTTGTTCACAGTGAAACTAGTTTCTCGCGAAATCGTGGCAAGTAATAAAGAGGCTTTAAATAAACTGGGAGAGAAAGACGCGGTCACTGTGAACACTCGAATTTGTGAGAAAAAAAAACCTGAAGAACTTTATTCACACATGCATAGATGAGAAAGACGGGGTCTGCCGTAGGACAACAGTTTACTGACCGTCTTGAAGGAACGCATGGCGAATAGATTGGCCATCATCGTGCTGAAACCCGGCGCCAAACAGGACTGTGCGATGAAACCCAGCTTCAACTCCGCCAGGCAGATCACATCGTCACCCTGTTTCCAGTCCCATGATGGAATGTTTAATAAGTAGGCCTGGAACAGGTTATTTTCTTCCTTAATTCTTCCATAATACCACATTCAGAATATTAGATCTAGTTATTATTCAATGTCTAACTATTTGAAACATCCTCATTGCTTCTTTCATTGCCCGTTTTCTAATTAGCTCCATTATCATTGAAAGTGATGCGGTTAATGTTTGTAAAAATCTAATGAAATGTGATTTCATTATTTAAAAATAAGTGCAAGGAGGTGACTTTGAAAAAAGTGCATAATTACCCCTTAAATACATTATCACCTTTTGTTGTAACGTTTATGTGTCTTTCACAATGTGGACACTTCAAACTTTTAGAGGAATCATCAACAGTTCAGATGTGATCATTTAATGTGAACGTATAAGTTAGCTTTTTGAGGTACAGAATTTCAAAGAAAATCCTTTGAATTTCAAATATGAATTTCAAATTGGAAGAGTTTTGAAAATTCAAAGAAAATGCAAAGTTGCAGAGAATCTTTTTAAAAGCAAACATGGAAATGTTCATTTTAATTCTTTAACGCAAGAGCTATCTCAAGTAGTGACGGATTAAAACATGTTCCGTGCACAAACAAATAAGTGAAAGAGGCGACAGTTCTTAACCTAACCACAAAGAATTATTTTTTATTATAAAGATGGAAACAATGCTCATTTTAATTCTTTAATGTAAGAGCTACCTCAAGTAGTGACGGATTAAAATATGTTCCGTGCACAAACAAATAACTGAAAGAGGTGACAGTTTGTAACCTAACTCCAAAGAATTTGTTTTTTATTATAAAGATGGAAACAAAGTTCATATTAATTCTTTAATGTAAGAGCTACCTTAAGTAGTGACGGATTAAAACATGTTCCATGCACAAATAAATAAGTGAAAGAGGCGACAGTTTTTAATCCAACTCCAAAGAATTTTTTTTTATCATAAAGATGGGAAAAATATTCATTTTAATTCTTTAATGTAAGAGCTACCTTAAGTAGTGACGGATTAAAACATGTTCCGTGTACAAACAAATAAGTGAAAGATGAGAAAGATTAGTTTTTAACGTAACAAAGAGTAATGTTGAATATAGTGATACCTTGTTGTGATATTGCATTAACTGAATGATAACGCGAATATCATCCGAATAGTTCTTGATGGAGATAACGCGCATAATGTTTGCCGCGTCTTCAGCGTCAGGGTCCTGGCAATACTTGTTCGCCAGTACCAAACACGCATCTGCCTCGTGGACCTAAAAACAACCATTAAAACCTTTTTCTATACTCTGCCTTCGATAAACAATTAATGATAATTTGATTTAAGGATGATGGTAGCAACAGCAAAAAATAAATAACAAAATTATTTTTTTTTTATATAATTATTTTTATCATGAAAAAATGACTCTATGTTGTTACAAAAATGCTTTCCTAATAAAAAATATTGTTTCTTTTGGAAAATGAATGTAATTTAAAAGTGCACTTTGTATTTATATGTGTAACTTTTTTTTGGAGAAAATGTGTGTTTTATGGAGAAAGAAGAAATATAGATAGAAATGATTCACTATTTAATGTGGAGGAAAATGCAAATACGTTTGAAAATTTTGGTTAGTCTTGAAAGCTAGTTTTTAATAAACGTCGCAGGTATAAGAAAGTATAAAAATTATATTTGTGTAGTTAAGAAATAAGTAAGTTATGTTATAAAATATGAATAATTATGAGGATCATAACCTCGTTCAAATTCAAAATGGTTCGAGCGGGAAATTCAAATCATATTATTGGTAATTTGTGTTTTCCTCAGTTATGTTTTTATATTAAATTTCTAGTATTTAGAGTTAAATTATACTAAACTTAAGAGTTTAATTTTTCTATAAATTAATAAAAACTGAGGTTCTTAAATATTTATTTAATATTATTGCTATATTTAATTTATATTCTGTGTCCTAATATTTCAAGAACAAATTTAATAATAAATTTTATAAATAAAATACAGATACAAATATATTGTATGAACAGTATTTTGGAGGTTAGGTGTCTTTGCCTTTGCAAAATGGCTGACAAACATGGCCGATGATCGCTCATATTTTGTAACATAACCTAAATTTAAAAAAATAATGTCAATCGATTTCCTTGCAATAAATACCTTCATTATCAAACTAACAATAAGAATAATTAATAAAAGCAAATGTCTACGGCATACCATAAACATACAAACATTAATTAAACAATGAGCATCGTCAACATGCAAATTGTCAAACTAAAATTCAACGGATATCGCTCAAATAGCCAAGCACATAGCCCTGCTGTAATTTGTCAAATGCAAAATCTATATATTTAATAAATAATCACGTTTCAATGTCTAAGAAATATCTAAGTCTTCAATAGATAATAATTCTTAGAAACTTAAGATTATTTGTTTAAACATTCTAACCGGAAGCACTTACCCGTTCGAATCGACAGCAGGCATAGATTTATCCAGCAGGAGTAAATAACTATCTAGGGAATTTTTTGTCACACGAATAAAAGGTAACGCTCTCTTCGAAGGTCCTTAACGGAAGATTCAATTTAAGCACGTTAAATGTATCCAATTATTGACATTGCATTTGTTCAATTGGATCTTAATTAATTGTTACAAATTGACGGAACATAAAAGCAAACGATCAACATAAGTCTCACGAAACATCGTCAATGTGCACAAAAGGGAACAAACAGGCAACAACCATCTTGGAACAACAGCATTGGTTCTTTTTTACAGTGGTGGGCAGCTCGCGAGAACTCACGTGGCAGTTTAGTACACTCTTGTTATATTGCCATTTTCAAAATTATATAATTTAAGAGAAATTACATGGTTAAGATAATCATTGAGGCTGACAATGATGTATAAAGGTGTATAAAGGTTCTACAACCCCCTCAAACTTTTGTAAATATAACAATTTGAGGAACGATTTTGAAAATGTGCAAATTTAAATGTGAGAATTTATGACTTTTAATTCTAAAAATTTCTACATTGCACAATTTGTAATTCTGAAGAATTGAAAATTCATAAATCTGAAAATTTATGAATTTGTAAACATGTAAATTTATAAATCTGAAACTTCATAAATTTTAAGATTAAAAAATTTGAAAACTTGAAAGCTTGAAAGCTTGAAAATGAGTAAATACATAAACTTACAAAATTGAAACCTCCATAAATTTCTTTGAGATACAACAAAGCTAGTGTCATATATAAAGAATTCTCTTAACCGGCAATATAATGAGAGTCAACTTCATAACTTATAAATATTGCACTGATCTAATTGTTGCGGGTTAGCAAATAAATTCATCGTCTATTTTTCTCATATATCGTATAATTATATCCTTTATAAAGAACTCGCTCAACCGGCAATATAACGAGAGTCTACTTGATAACTTATCAATATTGCACTGATCTAATTGTTACAGATCAGCAAATAAATTCATTGTCTATTTCTCGCATATATCGTATAATTGTATTCTGTACAAACAACTCGCTCAACCGGCAATATAACGAGAGTCTACTTAAAATTAATAAATATTGCATTCATCTAATTGCTGCAGAATAGCAAATAAATTCATCGTCTATTTTTCTCATATATCGTATAACTGTATTCTTTACAAAGAACTCGCTCAACCGGCAATATAACGAGAGTCTACTTAAAACTAATAAATATTGCACTCATTTAATTGTTACGAATAAGCAGATAAATTCCTTGTCTATTTTTCTTATAATATCACATCATTACACACATCTTATACACAAATGCCCGTGAGCTCTTCAACGGGCAGTTTCTTTGCCCATCGCACTGTTTTCATATAATACTGGTTCTCGAATTAACTACCGATTAGTTAAAGCAGTAACCATGACAGCCTTATTTAATACTTCTAATGAGTTGTATGATGTCCTATAGGAATTAATCCTTTTGTGAATAGAAGACGATATATGTCTCATATAAGGGTCATCTCATCTTAAAGCAGGGGTAACCTAATATTGCGAGTGCATTCGAGATTGGTAACAAAGTGGGAGCATGAAGTTTCTCTCGATGAAAATTATGTCAAATGATATAATAATTTATTATTAAACAAAAAGTTCCTCATATTTAAAAATAAATAAATAATTATTAAAAAATATATTCTCGATATTAAACATATTTTTTCATTACTTTTGTAATAGCTTATGATTCGATATATTCTAAATTTTGAAGTTGACTTCCTAACTTTCATATCATAGGTTAACATAATCATCGGATTAGACTAACGTCCAAAATCGCTTGACACGAATGTCGGACTAACTTTCCTATCGATGCTATTACAGAGGGCACAATCACAGGATCACAGCATTCCTAATGCAATGTCGAGAAGCGTGAAGACCAAAATACAAGTATCGCGTCATGAGAACTGCTTGTCACACAACGAGGGAGGCAACGACATAATGGACCATAGGGACGTCGAATATAAAGATAGAGACGTACGTATAGACAATAGAAAGAAACGTAGTGGCAATCGGCCAAATAATACACAAGTTCATATCAAATCGATCGGTGATCACACGGAATCATTTTGCGTGTGGTAAAAGGATGAGGATGTATTTCTTTCTTCGGACAGGAGACTCACCTTGACCCGTTGCAGATCAATGGGGTTCATGATGGTCCCCTGAAAGAACTCCACGGTGGTGAAATGCCGTTTGAATAGTCCCTCCAACTCGAGATCTGGTGGCTTCCTAAATGGCACAGGCCCGACAAAATCATACGTTTCTTTTCATAAATAACATTCACCTCGGATATCGGCCGCCATTTTCACGTATCGTTGAGCAGACCGTCAGAAGTCGGAGATTTACAAAGTAAAATGACTTAAGATGTAATTTGTCCTGCGTGCCTGCCACTTGAGAGACAATTATCGGATTCATACTGTTTGTCTCCCGTGAACCAGGGACACAGGAGTGTAATTAATAATAATTGATCTAAGTAAGTCTCTACTGCACGCTGATTCGGCTCCATAGCTCATTACAGCATACCATGCAGTCGCAGGCGGTTGCTTCCTACGTAATAAGTTTGTACATGTATAATTTGTAGAACTGGGCACATACAGACGGGCCCAAGAACAAGCAGCAAGTCGAAGCATGCGCATTTCACGTGTTCTTTACTATTTTGCAATCGGAAGCCTTGTTTCCAAGATACATTAAAATATTCAGAAACAAGAGTGTACACGAGACGCGACTGTGGCAGTACTGTATCTCTAAAAAGGAAGTGTTTTTGTGGTTATGTTTATAGGACCTTTTTTGGTCCTTGGGAAGGCTAGAATAAGCTAGCAAAGTTAGGTCACCTAACTCCTTGTGGTTATGTAGATATGAATACATAAGGGACGAATACTTAGAGGGAGACATCTGGTAGACGATGAACGAACTAATCAAACATGGAAGCCATTTTGTATCTACTTCTTGGGAAGATCTAGGAAAAATCTAGTGGAATCCTACGGAAAACTTAGAAAGATTTAAGGGAGAGATAAGGAAATGACAGAGAAGTGACTCTAAATATAGTTTAGGAAATTTCTACTTTGGTTATAAAGAGAAAGTTTCTAGATCCTAGGGAGAGACTAGGGAATATCTAGTTTATCTATGAAGTCCCCAGGAAGAATTCAAGTAAATCCTAGAGAAAGCTAAGTTTATATAAAAATTTCTATCTCTCATTTAAACATTCTGGTAACTAATGAAAGCTTAACCTAATGTCCCTACAAAAAGTACATTGACCTTTCCTAGGGAAAATAGCGTTACAGGACTAAAAAGTACCATCAATATATATAAATGCTCATTCAGAAAAATTTTATAACATTTATTATTTATAAGCTATATTAATTTTCAAATATTTTCAAGAATTATAGCTGGAAATTCAAATTTCGCGCCCAAAAGTGGTATACTAAATTTTGAATAATTTATATCTTGGAAACGGAGCTACAGATTACAAAATGGTGAAAGGATTTTCGATTTGTTTTTGCATGAAGAATACGCAAGTTCTAATTTGCTGCTTACTTTTAGAACATTCCATATGTGCATGTGTTATGTACATACACCAACAGGTAAAGTATAAATACTTGAGAACATAATCTGTAAGACTCTTAAATATTTCCTTAAATATCTTTAAAGATAAGATTTAATTTTAAAGGTAATAATTGAATTTTGTTATAAATTATTCAATCTGCGTTATTAAAATTAAAATTACATAACCTCAAAATCGACAAAATGGCGGCCTAACTTATTCCAACCTGAAATAAATTTACTTAACTTTCTTTTTAGAATTTAATGGTAGTCTCATTCAAATTTCCCGCCAATACCAACATTCCAAAACTTGTCTCTAATAATCCAAAGTTGGTGTACGTACATAAAACAGTACTATAAGAAGAATTAACTTCATAACACATAAATGGCAATTGTATCTATAAAATTGTATATATGTATAGTAATAATATAATGCAATAATAATAATAATATAAATGCATAATAATATAGTTGTCTACATCGATCGATGGCTAGAAAAAATCGAGTCACTTTCAGGCGTGTAACCTCGCGCAAATAACCTAAATAACTGCAAGGAAATAAGAAGCATCGAGCGATCACGCAAAAGGGCGATAAAAGGTTGTTTCTGTAGTTGTTGTTGTTGTTTTATTTTTATTGTTTCGTATGATGGTTGGTTGTATGGGGTTCAGAGGGGTACCTTGACACGTTCCAGATCCACAGCGTTCATCATGGTGCCCTGAAAAAACTCCACGGTCGTGTAATGCCTCTTCAGGAGACCCTCCAATTCGAGATCTGGCTCTTTCCTGGAATCATAGATCACTCCTTACGACAATGACGATCAGACCTCACGTTTCGAAACCCTTCTCAGCTGCTCATTTAACCTAAACTGGTATCTGCGTTGGGAGAACCCAAGATGGAGGTCTGATCATCTTTGCTCGCGTAATCGCGCAACTCAATAGGAGTCAATAGGACATCGCAACCTAGACTTACCCTGCTTATGACAACTATTACTATTATTATTACTATTTTAGATCTCTAGTGACTGCTTATCGGTTACAGTAGCAGACTTACTTAACGTAATGTACTTAACGTAGATGATGTGCGATTGAGAGATGTGTCAAGTGTTGCAGGTGGATGATATGCTCTTTTGCATATCATCTTATAAGGCGTTTAAAGACATACACAATCTACAGTCAAATATTTTTTCCTGATATGGTCTCTTTACACGTGAAAGTTTTTAACAAAATAATTTTCTTGCATATCACTGCATATCACTTGATGGAGTATTTTGAGAATATCTATAAGGACCTACCATTGATTGTATCTTATTATTTTACACTTCTCTTTACTTGGAAGTTAGATACAACACAAAAGACAAATTCTAATTACATTCGCCATAGACAAAAGTGATATGACACCAAATGTCATGTCATATTTTCACAAAATTAAAAATTGTTTACTACCTTCGTTAAATACTTGATAACTCAAATTTATTCATGACATGTCCCTCTCTGATGTGTCGATTACGTGTACAGAGAATCAGAAGTAAATATCAGTCAGTCAGCGCGTGCATGTCACCATTAAACGTCTCACCCCGCACTCAGACGTAAGTTTATAATGAAAATGTGAATGAATATCGATTATATAGGTCTCTGATGAAAGAAGAACAAATAAATTGAACGAATCATACCTATGCAAGAAGACAACTTCCACGTCGACGTCTTCACGATCCTCGTGCAAGAAGTCCTTGAGGAAGTGCGACACTGATTCGTAGGTGATGTGTCCACACACGACAATATGTCTGCCAACACAACGAACAAATTAGAATCAATCCTCGTGGAATTCGGAACGATTGAAAGACGAAAGATTTACAAGCAACTACCGTGTACACGCTCTATGTATTATACATGTGTCTCGATTGACTAACGATTTCATTACATTTTTTTCTCTTTAGTTTCTTTTTTTTTTTTTTTTTGTTAGTCGATGATTTACTTCCCTTTTTCTTTTGAAGATGACAAGAGAGAAAAACGTAAATATCGTTGAAAAATCAAAATCAGCTCTGTTTGCACCAGTTTAGTCTGCTTCCGTAAAGTAACTAATAGAAAAATACCGGAATCGATTTTTCGAAAATTTTATTGTTGAATTTAGAAAAAAGGTTCACTCGTATGTTGCAGAGAAACAGATATTTAACAGTTAAGGGAAAACGAGGGTGATTCAAAAAGTTTGGTAATTTTCGAGTTAATTAAAGTTATAACATTTTGACTCATTTGGACAATTTTTTTTTTTGTTGTCTCTTGATGTTTAAAATCAAAGAATTTTTTTTAGAACAACTCTTAATACTTAATTTGTAAAATTTATTATAGCAAATATATAAAATTTATAATTACAAACTTAAAAATTTCTTAAGTTTAAATAATGAAAAATTCAAAAGTATTACATTTTGGATAAAATGTTGAATTCACAAAATTAAAAAATTCAATGTATAAAATAAAAAAGTGTACAACAGTGATTATAAAAAATTAAGAAAATTAATTCTGGATTTACAAAATTTCAAATATTAAATTTAGTAAATTATGAATTTTGTAAATTAAATATATTAAATGCATTAAATGTAAAAGTACAACTTTATGAAATGGTACAAAAATTTCAGAGTTGAATTTTAAAAATGTACCCCAAATGCAAAAACTTTGAAACATTAAATTTAAAAAATTATTTCTAAGCATGACAATAAGTCAAAAAATAATGCTTTCCTGTTTCAAAAATCAAAATAAAATTTTTTCAAAAAGAATTAAATTATAAAATGCAAAATACTGTATATAAAATTATAAAAATACGTCGAAAAACAATTTTCATCGATTCTTAAAAAAAAAGAAACTTTTTCAATCACCCTCGCAGTAACCACAAGATCATGATACCACGTACATCCGCGTACACAATGTGTAATTAATTATGTGGACTAAACTTACCGGAGCTGCGATAGGAATTGGAGTGAGTCATTTTAGCCGACTAACGTGATCGAACCACAACTATATGTACACGCGCACACACGCACACGCACACACACATATGACAACTTATCTGTGCTAGATTAATCAATATACATAAACAAGAAAAAAAAACGACAAAAATGTAACAAGAATTAGATGAAAAAGAGTGCAGGCTCGTTTGACCTTGCAATCAAATCACAAGCACAAGAACTCGTCGCTAATTCGTGTTAATTCTACGTGCAATGTGTCGTGATAATCACATACTCTAATGCTAATTAACTCGACAAAAATACTCGTGTTATTGCATCGTGTACCATAACTTCACCATAACCATATCATGCTCAATCTCTTTTCTACGTTGTGATATCTAAAAAGTGAGGCACATCGTGAATTCACCTGACACGTTGGAACTCTGCGTAAAGACGAGGTACAGTAGACTCGCGTTATATTGCCACTTTCGCGTGGCGTCGCTATGCTGTAAAGACGCCTTCTTGTAAGACACCTACTATCTTGTAAACACCATGCTATTATTAGTAGAGATGGTTAAATCTTTAGTTTTGTAAGTGGCAATATAACGAGAGACTACTGTACTCGTGCGCCCCCTCCATCGTAGCGTACGGAAACTCACGAAGATCGAAAACGACTCGATTTTGATAATCGAGCACTACTTGGAAGGAGCTCTATGTTGCCAATTTGGATTCAAGAGTTTAGTGGCAATATAAGAAGAGTCTACTGTACGTTCGAGTATTGTTAAGGTTCTTTCGGATGAAAACAGCTGTAGGACAAGAGCTTAGCACAACTTGGGAATCTTTTATTTTTTTAATTTCAAAGCTTGTGAGTTAGAAAATCCTAATTTTGAAAATTGCAATATATGGAATTTTGCAAATTTGCAAAAATTTGAAAATTTGTGAGTTGCAGAATTTTTAGATTTTATATTTGGAAATTTGTAATTTTGAAAATTTCCTAATTTGAAAATTTTCAAACTTGAAAATTTGAAAGTTTGGGAAAAATAAAAATTTTTTAAAAATTTGTTCAAATGAACAGTGGAACTCTTGTTCCTACATCGCCATTTTCCCCAGAAAAACCCTATGATACTCGTCACTGCACGTTCCCGCAACGCAACTCACGAAGATGCACGAAGTCAGCCGAAGGCGCCTCGAACATCGATCGTTGCGTGGCTCTTCCTATATTGCCGATTTAACGACGATATAACGCGTATCGGTAAATGCACAATGGACCCCATAAACGCATGAACGATAAGCCCTACTGATAAGGTTATTTGTCAATCTACTATACGGGGCCGACGTTTTGTCATGTGATATGTTAAGACATGAGTGCCGTATGTGTAGAATAAGAATAAGTTACAAATATGTTGTGTGTTGGCTACAGCGAAGAGATACGTGTCGTTCGAGCCCTATTGCCCATGTAGAGAACGAATACCGGAAGCATATCAAATGTTCGCATGTCACATGGACGAGATTCGAACGTTGATCAAAACGTTCCTCGATGCTGATGCTTGATGTAACGAGTTCGTTATCTCGCGGATTATACGTACATGTCAAACCGTCGCCTGACTTAACGGAATGTCACTGATTAAATCGTCAACGAATGCATATCAACCTTAGTTCGTGGAATCAAGACGCTGTTCGGTGTTTGTAGAGTTGTACGTGCAACAATCACCGTTGGAAAATTATTATTCGTGTCAGGTCAGTGTATCAGGTTGTATCAATCAGTGATATGATGGCATGTCAATTTTAAGATTAAAGTTTGACGAAAATTATGACGTTAACTGCGGAAAATATATAATTATGGTATACAGTGATTTTGAAACGTGTGAAGAGTGACATGCGTCGGTGATATGAATATCGTGGCATGTCAGTTAGTTAAGCTTGATGAGTGTTCATAATATAAAGTAGTTGATTATCAGTTACAATAAATGATGAGATATATTATTTTAAGTTTGTTAAATTATGACATGCAGGGTGCTCCACAGTAGGGCATACTGCATGTCACTTTGCAGTGTGAAGTGTGATGAGAATGACATTAATATTTCATTGTCGATCTGAACCATTATAACAAAAATGTCAATAAAATATTTATGTTGTTTTCATCAAACTTTCCACTAAAAAGTGATATGCCATATGTAACATTGCGAAGACAACTGCATATCACAATTTAATTAACCTAACAGTGTACATATCATTGTTTACAATAACTGATAATCAGCCATTTTGTTCCAACTTCAAGCTTTAAACTGATATGCCACAAGCGTCATATCATCGAATCATATCAGACTTGATACATTCCAAAATTGACAGTTTGATACAACCTAATAATTATGAATGTATACAGAGTGAGTCAGCTGATATACAATATTTAAATAATTTGATTTTCAGATAATGAATTAGTAGGTATACATAATTTCCTTCTTTTAGGGCTGCACCGAGCAGCAGGGCAATCAGGACAATATTTCACGTTGTAAACTAAACGAATCAGAGCAGTGTAGCACTTGATATGCTTAAGCCGCTGCCACATTGCCTTGTCCGATTTTAGTAGTTTTAGAAATATTTAAATCTATGATTATAACTATGCAATAAAATTCGTGAAATCCTAAAAAAAATAAAGGTTATAAATTTAGCTATCAAACTGAATAATACCAAACATAAAAATGGTACAAAAATTAAAAAGAGAGTTATTAAAATCAATAACAACGCATGAAAACAATATTTATTTTGATATTATAATAAATAATAATTGAAAATAAGTTATATATTAATTGCAGATTTAAATATTCATGAATGTTTAAAAATCATGTAGTGTGGCAGCGGTTTAATACTTTTGGTCCCAATTGTGTGATATTACATCAAGTAGTGTGGCAGCGGTTTAACACCTTCAAACCCAACAGTGTAATATTACACATTTTACAAAGGCGGACCTCTGCATTTGTTCTTTTGGGAATGAACGTGTTAAACATATCAAATTATCCACATATCTCACTTTCTTGTACCACAATATATCACATTGCCCCAAAAACTGCCCCAATGCCCGACGTTCTAAAACAAGTCTGGGTAACTGATGCAAAAAAGGAAAGAAATAGAAAATAAATTGAATGGTCCTTCAATGATTGATGACACTGCCCGCAATTTCTGCTCAAAAGCACTGCCCGAAGGGCACGAGTTGCCCAGACCTCTTCTAGGGATACATATCCCAGAGTTACCAATGTTATCACTATTTTTCAAATAAATTTAAAGCAACAAATACTAATATTTTGAAATATTTAAATATATTGGAATTGTGGCTTTAAGACACAAATATTAAAAATATAAAAAGATTATAATACAATATGTATCATAATTTTATTTAAAAAATAATCTTCTGACATGATATGCCTTAAAAAAGCATATCACTGATGAAGCATGCATATCACTTTATAAGTGAATAATTTTATTTTAATCGTTTATTATATAATAAAAGCAGGAAATTTTGAAAAAATATCGATAATCTTGGTAACTTTAGAAATTTGTTGAAGAAAAAAAATTATATTTACCATTGTTTAATTGTGGTCGAAGGTCGAATTCGTTGGCTACAACTCACTCTGCACTCTCGTATACGTAATTGTGTATAAGTACCTAGTTTTTTTGAAAATAACACCAATGTTGTTATTTAATATCATTCTTCATGATCGCTTAACGAAAAACCACAGTTGCGCTGATATCAATTGTGCGACGCATTAATTTCAAAAAACGACATACAATGGTTACCCAAGTTCACCCTAATCTACAGATCCGTTTGGCCCACTGATTAATCCCTTCCT